AGTAGATACTCTTAAAATACAATGGAACAAAAACTGCAAATAGTAGGGATGTAACTAACTTTTTAAATTTGAATTTGTTGGGATGATTTTATTATGTGTTTTATTTTTAAATTATACAAGATAAACCAGGCAATAACAGAAAATGAATGCAAAACAATTTTAACCACTTAAACAACTGGCTATTTCAGAAACCATATGACTTTTGTATGACTCAAAGCATTCACACTGTAAAGTATATATTTTTTCTGTATTTTACTAGAAACTGACTAACTACAAATGAGGGGGAAAGCAAGAACAACAGATTACAGTGGATTCAGTTATTAAATGATGGGAAGCCCGGTAGGGCAGGGTTTCCCATCTGAAACAAGTTAAGGCAAATAGTAAAATCAACTTGATGCATGTATAGGTATACACATGTTTATAAATACGCAATATAGAAAATGTGAATAAGCACATACAGATTGACCAGAAGCAAGACCAATCTCTAAGGAGCTGAACTGGACCTCTTACTAATTGTTTTCTTGAATTTTTAGATTTTACACGCTGAGACTGAATCACAACTACAAGATGCCGTTACACAGGCAGCCAGCTTGATCAGTCTTGCTGGTCACAGTGTGCGTATAACTCTAAGAAACAAACAAGAGACAGCTTTCGACTTGGCTCACTGGTATGTCCTTCAACGGACCCGTGCTCCTTTTGAGAGGTAAGTTGTCTAAACACACACTACACTCTTTTTGTGGCTTTGCAGAAAGTTTAAGGCTTGTGATAAAGTGAGTTAAAAATGGAACATACAGAAGAGTTAACACGTTTTTGATTTGCTACCAAGCATTCCGTGGTGTATGAAAATGATGAATTTGAAGATCTTAAATGTACTTAAAGAATATGGATGGGAATGTGTCAAGGAATGTCTTAGCAGAATGAAAAGAAAACATTCTGGATTTAAATGAAACCTACTGGCGGGGTGTCACAGAACCTTGTGAATAAAATCAACTGCTTGAAACTTTTCACATTTGTCACATAACAACCACAAGTT